CTGCTGACAGTCTGATGGGAACTCCTTTGTAGGTGACTGTCCCCTCATCTCTTGCTGCTTCTAAAGTTCTCTCCTTCATTTTAATCCTGGGTAATGTAATTATGATGTGCCTTGGTGTATTCCTCCTTGGGTCCACCTTCTTTGGGACTCTGAGCTTCCTGGATTTCCTGGAAGTTTATTTTCTTTGCCAAATTGGGGAAGTTCTCCTTTATTATTTGTTCAAATAAGTTTTCCACTTGTGGCTCTTCCTCTTCCCCTTCTGGTACCCCTATAATTCCGATGCTGGAATGTTTAAAGATGTCCTGGAGGTTCCTAAGCCTCTCCTCCTTTTTTTGAATTCTTGTTTCTTCATTCTTTTCTGTTTGGCTGTCTCTTTCTTCCTTCTGGTCCACTCCATTGATTTGAGTCCCAGTTTCCTTTCCATCACAATTGGTTCCCTGTGCATTTTGCTTAATTTCACTTAGTGTAGCCTTCATTTTTTCATCTAATGTACAACCAAAATCAACCAATTCTGCGAGCATCCTGATCACCAGTGTTTTGAACTGTGCAGCTGGTAAGTTGGCTATCTCTTGGTCACTTAAAACTATTGGCTCTGGGGCTTTGATTTGTTCTTTTGTTTGAGCCTTAATTTTTTGTCTTGTCATGCCTCTTATGTAGTGAGGGGTGGAACCTTAGGTGTTCACCAGGGCGGAGCAACCCAGTTGCTGGGTTGTAATGCTGTGTGTAGGGGTGGGGTCAGAGACAAAACAATGGCCCTTGCTCTGCTCTCACTCAGATTACAGTCCCCTCTGCCTCTTCCCACAAGTAAATTGGGCCCTTCAGGTGCTGGTTCCTGGGTGGGTGGGCTTGTCTACATTCTAGGACCCTGTGGATCTCTCCAGCAAACTCTCCTGTGAGGCTGGGAGTCTCTCCCAGCACCTCAACCCCCGCAAGTTTTTTCAATCAGTGCTTTTAGGCTTTATTTCCCAGTGCTGGGGCCCTGGGTTTTGTGGTCTGTCTCACTGACCATTTTTTGCCTGGTTTATCTGCACACGAATGTGTGTCCTCGATCAGCCAACTGCCTTGTGTGCCTCACTGGATTTGCTAGTTTCCTCCCTGCACCTGGGGTCTGCCAACCACTGCTTTTTTCTGACACAAGCCCTCTCCTCTGGCCGCCGACTCCACCCTTCTTACTGGTCTGGATGAATGGTTCATTGTTGTTGGACTTAGGTAGAGTTCAATTTTCTGTCTGTTCTGGTTGTGTTTTTATTTCTAAATCTTTGTTGTCCTTAAATTTGGTTGTGTGAGGAGGTACAGTGTTTCCACCTAAGCCTCCATCTTGTCCAGAAGTCCAGTTTCTGGAATTTCCTTAGTAAATTTGCCCTTTGGCCGATTTCCCACACCTGGTACTCAGGCCATATTTAGGGCCCTGACAGACGTTGCCATCCTAGGTCTATTTTCTGTGTTTTTCAATAACGTTGAATAGTTTTTATTAAGCCATGTGATTAACTTCTTAAAATTTTTTCAGCACTCGTACTGTTCATCGTTAGAGTAAAATAGTCTTAGAAAAATGAACACTAGCTACTACTACTATTCCTTATTCTGTACAACTCTTTAATGAGTTGTAGGTCCTAGCTATTTGATATGTCTTGCTTATGGCCCTGATAACATACCTTTAGAGTGTAGGCATTGCAAACATGAGGATATGGAATTTTGTAAACCTTGACCTGCCCCATTTCCTGCAAATAAAAATTGCTCTGCACAGTTCTGGAATAGACTGCTTGCTATGATATCAGTGGCAGCCTAAACATTTATGACCTTGAACATCATTAGCATCATTTCAATGGATTTTTAAGATACTGAGTAGTATTTCAAGGGCCACAGATACCAAATCACAGCAACTTACAACCAGCATGCGTTGCCTTGATTTTAGAATATTCTGGTAAATTGATATTAGCAGCTAGCATGAAACAATCCTGGGAGCGAAATGCTTGGTGGAATACTGAATACAATTTTCCTTGTGGCCAATAATTTCTTTTTTTTATTATACTTTTCTGTCTTTTCTCCTTACTGCTACTCTCTTCTCTTCCTCCATATTTGCTACTCTCCTTTTCCACCATTATGTTCTTCTCTTTTGTAATCCTCCTGTTCTCTCTCAAATTCATACTTATTCAGTATTTGCATGTTTGTGGTATGGCTCCTCCCCTAGTGTAGCTCTAGTCATTTAGTGTTCATTCATTTTGTACATTCCTCATTCATACATTCATTTGTTTCTAAGTGATTATTTATCACAAGTCTGTTCCATGTTAGATACTGTGCAGTAACAGTTAGAGGAAAGATGGATAATAAATACCTATTTTTTCACTGAGTATATTATATACCAAGCACTGTTCTAAGTTTTATACATACATACATACATACATACATACATACACACACATATCTGTACACACAGATTTATATATATAGATATATACATATATATACATATGTATATATCTTTTTAACAGTCCTAAGAATAGGTCCAATTTATAATCATCAGTTTACTGATGAAGAAACTGAAGCACAAAGTCATTAAATGTTGCCCATAGTCACACAGTCAGTAAGGGTGAGTGGCATGTTGTGATTTGACTGCAGGGGACATACAATGGGGCATTTGGGTGAAAGGAACCACACAACAGGGGGAATTAGTCAGTGCTTAACAAAACTCCTCCAAGTTACCAACTTTTTAACTTGTGTGAATGAAAGTACACCCAGACCTTAACAGCTCTTGATAAAAGTGAAAAGCACTAAGTCCATGATTGGGAGGGGAGAAGACATTTGGTTGTTTTTGTTAGTAAGTGTGCACTAAAACACAGGGGTGTGTACTGTGTTTCACAGTGGGGTTTGGGTACTTGAATCTGTAGACATTTGGCAGCTGATAACCAATACTTAATCCTCAGCTTTGGAAGAACTGAAGTAAAGACCTCAGTCAAAATCAATAGTGTTTTATTCTTTTGATTTTCTATGTCTTTAATTAAACCACACCAAGTGAAATAGAAAATCATGTAGGTCTGAAATAATTTAGGCATTGAAATGGTTTTGAAAATTCAGGTGAACTATGAATCTCACTTTTTAAACTATACAGTTGCTTGAAGTAAATGAATCAGAATCACCAAGATTAATCTGATGACAGAAGTATTCAGAAAAGGAGCCTTATTTTTGTTCCTGATTAATTAGTGATGAAACTCAAGTAAAAGTAGAGATTCTTGATAACTGCTTTGCCCACATTTTTCAGAAGAGAGAAAATTTCTTTTTTGGTCTATAAGTGCATAATAAAAATATACCATTAATTCATATTGTTGCTGTTATAATTCCTCATCCATTGGCTTAATTGTGGAAAGTTGCCAGAAAGTAATATTTTTAATGTTCCTCACTATTGTAATTACATAGTCAATGACTGTTTCTCATGGCATGTCTAGTTACACTGTTGTGGCTTAGAAGCACTGCTTTACTGCTTTGATCAAATATGTATTAATTATGCCAGATATCTACCTGCTTTCCTTAAAAAATAAAGTTTAGAAAGGGATATGTATGAAAATATCTTTAACATTTTCATGGCATTGGTGTCCTAAATAGCTAGTTTGCAGAAGAGTATATTTTTACTTACTATTCATTCTACGGATTTGATTTGAAGATTCTAGATTATGCAAAAATACAGTGTGAGCAACATGGCCTATGACCATTACATTTACCAAGAAATTTTGACCTCATGCTAAGGTCCTCTTCTCTATACTTTTCTCCTACTTCATTTTGCACAAATATTATTTGTAGAAATAAATTAAGTAATTAAATTGACAATTATAGTAACGGCGTTGATTCCAAAATTATTTAGAAGACACATAACTTGATGAGCGTTCATCTTCTAGTCAAAAAACTGATGAAAACTATTTGCTTTTATGCTCTTCTCTTACTTCATACATTTCTAAAATTTCCAAATTTATTGAGTAGTCATTTTTGAGAGGAAAATGGACTAAAATCCTGTTTTTGTGTTTCAAGTTTTCTTCTTTCACAATGTTTGTTGTTTCTTTTGAATATTGCCATATATTGTAAATGAACATATTGTTCACATTTGGAGGGAAATAAAGAGAAGTTCTAATATCTGAAATTAGAAAGCAGGTATTATGAGAAAAATGAAAACTCTCAATAGCGTGATAATCTTGACCTTAAAATAGAAAGCAGTGTGCTAGCATTTGGCCTGCAGTATGCTAGCATTTGATACACCATACACATAAATCTGGACATGATGTATGTAGTACCATGTATCAGCAGTGTCACACCAAGCAGAGGGGAGGGCAGGGGGACCCTTTATCACTAATTGGAAACTTGGTTTACAAATAAATTTTAGATTATTTATAATTACATATGAAACAAGGTGTCTCCACAGCCTTCACTGAACTATTAAGGAATAGGAATGGCAGTGTCTTTGGAAGTGTACAGTGTAAATAAATAGTCACCCTTTGGAAAGAACACATGATGTGGTGTGCATTGTGAGAACTGGTTGACTACAATGGATAGCTTCACTAATAAATCTTGCAAAAGCCTTTTATAAAGGGGAATCACAAAGAGATGGCATCTCTTCCTTTAAATGCCATCCTCATATATACATTTTAGAAGCACCAGGTTGCCTAAAGGAACACTTTCATTTTAATTCATTATAAAAAGAAATATACAAGATTGTGTCTTTGATATTTTTATTGCTAGGATAGTAACACTATTCTTTAAATAGTAATAAAATATTTCTCTTTTCCAAAGAATTTTCCACTCTAATGTCACCATACCATTGTGTAGGTGAAGTTGCTATGGAAAATGCCTCAATGAGATGTAATGGTTTGACTCAAGGAAAAAAAGTTATGATTTCATGTCTCATCTTAACAGTGACCTTACCTTGGATGATTGTTTATTATAATATGGTAGGAAAACTAGTTGTTCTTATGCTTTTTTACAATTGCTTTAATAAACAATAAGGATTTCTTTTCTAGGGCCGGTGCATAAACTTCTCCCGAGTTCAGTCTCAGTAAAAGGAAAGGAAGAAGACCAAGAAGGTATGAAGATGGTCCATCTTCACACTGCTGATTTCCAACAAAATGAGAAACAAATAAGTGCATTTGAGATGTTTTTGGAAGAGCAGCTTTATTCCTGTCAGTCAGGAAATGTTTTCTCTGCCTTCTGCTTTGCCTTACACCAGATATTTTCAAAGAGTTCTGCTGTCTACACGGGAGTCGATGAAACACAGAGGTGACTCATGATTCATGACATTGAAAATGAAGAGGAACATTGATCTGCATGCTATGGCTTATGGAAGAAAGTTTGCACAAATGTGTAGAAGGGGGAAAATAAAAAACAGCTGCATGAAGTTGGTATCAAAATGGGAACCATGCAACCACTGGCCATGATGGATCTTTAATGAAGGGAAGAGTGTTTAACATGGAAACATGGCACTTGTGTTTTTACAAGGTGAGATTGTGTATCCACAGGCACAGTTTGAAATTTTCCACCAGGATAAGCAAATGAAGGAGTCTATTGCCTTATAGCTCTGTCAGATTACAAAACCCTTCCAAGTCCCCCCACACCGTGCCTTACGGGAAGCTGCTGCCTGGAAAATCTTGTCACTCTTCACACTGAAAAGTGCACACGCATGACAAAATGTAGACAGGATGCTTCAAAGTATTGGCAGCAAGCAAGATTTTTGCCCTTTAGTTTTTGAAGACACTTTTCTTTCATCATGCACTTGGGAAAAGAAAATTAATAGAGCGTTATTCCACAGGAAGACAGCCTCTAACCAGAGATCTTGAGTGGAGTGTGAGGGATTCATGAATTGAGAACTTGTCCCTGTGATTGGTAGATTTACAGTTTTTCTATGTTTAGGGTTTAGTAGTATGTGTAGCATTAACAACTGTATACATACCTACCAGTTTTGTTTGCTTTTAATTTAAAGGAAGCAATAACCACAAAGCTTCCGCTCAGGGTTTTTGTTTCTCCGAGTCTCCAAGGACTCTTCAGCATCACAAGCTAGCAACTCTCTTTGCATGAGAATCTCAAAATTTAATTAATATAATTAAAGGCAACAGCAAGCAGCAGCCTGTGAAGATTTTGCTCATCTTTTTTATGCCTTCTGACATTGAATGACCTATTGCTGTATGTGCATTACTCGGATTTTGAGGAGGCACGTTACCTTGGATATGATTCAGTACAGAAGAAAAGACCTCCGTTCATCAATTTAAAAATTAAATTTTCAGGAGGATCGGCCACCGCAAAACATCGCCAATGTACGTGTTCTAATGTTTTAGAAAAACCACCGTCGTGTCATGTCGACGGTGCCAAATGATGTTAGCATGAGCGGAAACACTGTGGGGAGGAAGAAGGCAGCAGCTGAAGAGAAAAGCTCAAACGATCTAGTCACTTTCGATACTGTATTTCAGATGGGAAATGGATATTCGACTCGAAACCTGACAAAGTGCGCCTGCTTTGATGTGAACTGGTATAGACAATGACCAGTGGCTGGGTCAGTGGGATGTCTCTCTGCGAGCACAAAGGCTTATCAAATGACACTAAAAATAAGTTCAACAACCATCACATTGGAAGGGAGAAGTCGAACATTTCATGTTTGGCGGGCATATGAGTGCACAAGATGGAAAAGAGCGATGTGGAGCATCCCAGTATAATTATCCCTGTTGTGCTCTTAATGGAAATTTCAAAGGACGGGAGTGATTCTGCTGGTTGGTGTCCAGAATTGTGGCACTGCTCCAAGAAGCCTTACTCACACACACAAATATATATATATATACACACACACACACATGTATATTTACTAGCTTGAATCTTTTGCTCAAGTTTATTTATGTCACTGGCTGGCTGGATCCAAAGTCATGAGTCTACATATTCATAAATAAAATTTTTACCTGTGCCTCTGCTACCATTTTCTTTAAGCCTACATGAACTCAAACCTTATTTGGCTGAATATGTCATTGTCCTGGTTAGTTTCTGGGACAGAATTATACTGAGTTCCAAAATGCCCCTTATATTCACAAATAATACTATTGGCGGTAATTATCCATGTGTGCAAGTCTGACTTGGAAGCCAAGTAGACACCCAATGAGTTCTTGTAGACCTTTGTTCTACATTTGCCTCTGGGTCGGGGCCTATCTGTTTTTTTAAATTAACTCTTCATTTCTGATCAGTGCGCATCCCTAAATAGCATTTATGAGCATCAAGGATGCTTAGAAGCTAAGGCTGTTTCCTTGATAGTTACTTTAAGTCTCTCTAGTATCATTTGGCATGTGTATGACACTCGTATTTTGCTATGTAAGCAATGTAAGTAGACCTCTGCCTCTCAGTGACAAAACAGCTTTCCATGAACTGTCATTCATATGGATTTCCAGTTCTTTTTTTCCTTTTTTAAAAATTTTATTTAGTTATTTTTCAAGTACAGTTTTTTTTTTTGTCTATTTCGCCCATCCCAGCCTCCCCCGCCCCTTGCTCCCCTGGATTTCCGGTTCTAATACCACTGGGAAGAACTTTCATTGAAAACAGGTCTGTATGTAGTCTAAAAAAGTACCATTTGTGGTGTTCAAAGACAGATGGACGTTCATTGCACTGAAGGATGAGAATCAGAGCTACGTTATGATTCCCTCTGATTAGGGTAACTAGCAAGCAAGAGAGGGCTTTGCTTTAAAGAGTACTGCTTGCTCACTAAATTGAGAACCTCTACTTTCAGCCAGGAAAATAAGCCATTTCTATAATTCCAGTAACATTTTATAATTTATATAGAGAAATAATTCCTATTTAATTTTTCGGACATAATATCAGTCCAAAATTCTTTTCTATCAGTAAAAGAGTAAGTCTTTATCCATAATCCATTTGTGTTGCATAAGGTTGCAAAAACAATTAAGTGGGAAATGACTCCTAACTTATGTGTCTACTCTGCCTGGAAAGAAAGTTTTGAAGGCATCTATATATATTTCATAACAATGTCTGTTCTTTATGGATTTGATCCATAAATATTTATCTATCTGAAAACTTTGATACTTGGAATGTTTTCCTTAAAGCATTTGGTGCTCCAAGAAAAAACATTTGGTGCTAAGAGTTGCAGCACTGATGCCTTTCCCCAAGTTAATTCTATTTTAAAATTTGATATTTCCTTCCCAATGAGATGCAGAGTAAAATTTGAGACCCTCCATTAAGTAGGGAGCAGCATCTGTCACTGCGGATAATTACTATTTTGACAAAAATGTGTAAGGTTTTAACTTCATAGCCTTCAAATCATTAGAGAAAAAATGATTTGCTTATATTTCCCTTGAACTTGATTCTAATCACTTTAAATCATAAATTATTCGGTATTTGTTTTTCAAATAAATCTTTACTGAGTATAAGATCTGGTGTCTGGGTGAACTTAATAACTTTATTGAAATATCAGTGGCCATTGTTTACTGCTCAGTGGCAATTTATTTAGTTTATTTTAAAAATTAAGATGACAATCAGCGGTATGCCCAACAAAGTGCCTAAAATATTTTTCATTGGTCATCTTAAAAATAGTATTTAAGTTTAAAAGGGCAAAGTAGAATTAGATCACTTTTACAAGTATTGTAAAGCAAGTGTTATTTTTTTCATGGCAAAGTCTGTGGTTAACTTCTGCTAGGTTTTGCACTGCATCCCATTATGTTAGGAAATGTATTAGTGTTTAACTGCTACTGGAAATTATTGGTGAGTAGATGTGCGCAGGAGAGAAACGCATGCAATCTTCATTTTAATATGAATGGAAATACATGATTTAGAATCATAGAACAACTCTGGTACATTTGTTATATGTTTAAGGAAAACAACTTGCAGGTGAAGCTGGAGAATGTTGTCTGTGTGCAGGTAATGAAGTGAGTGTAACCATGTATTATAGTCTCAGAGTTAGATTAACATTTCACTTTGTGAATATCTATGGCATATTTCTGAGAACAGTTTAATTTTAATATATCTCTATACTTATTAGGATCTAATTTAGTGAATTGGACAAGAAGAACAAAAAAATTTTCTCTCTCATAATGTCACAAGCCTGGTATTTGGGTTTTTTTCTCTTCTACCAGAAGAAAATACTGACAAGAAAGTACACAATATAACATGCAAATTTATATTAAAAGGTGCTTGTTCAGGTTGCTTTGCAAGAACTATATTAAGGTAAATTGAATGTGTGTGTATGTGTGCATATATGAAAGAATCTGATGACAGAGGGCCTAGACCATAGACTGAGCCACAACTGGCTTACTAAAATGGAAAACCTCAGCTTGCAACCAGAGGTTGCAGATGAACTGGAGATATCTAGTTTATTCCATCTCTGGTAGCATATTAGTGAATATAGTCAGATTGGAGGTTTTGCTTTTATGTATCATATTTTTAGTGACTTGCTTTATTTGTAAAGCAAGGTAATATTAGCTCTGTAAATTGCTGTTTAGTTACAACAATTGCATTGAATCATATAGTCCATAATCTGATAATTAGCCATAATAGAGTAATTTCTCAATTAATTTCTTTTAACTAGAATTTGTCAAAGAGGCAACTGATAATAAAGTTTAAATCTGATGAAATCTCTCAAAAGATGAGCAAAATGTTGAGAAATAAATTTGTATATTTTAATCTGATTTTATAGTCTGAGCAAGTGTTTCAAAGGCGTATGTAAAAATGTACAGAAATTGCTACAGGAGATATATCCCACCAACTTTAATGAGCAGGGTACAAAGTACCCTGCAGAATAAATCATTAAATTCTCTTTTTCTTAGTCAAAATTGGGGAAAATGTTAATTCACAATCACTATGCCTATGGTTCCCATAGGAAGTAGTCAATGGATAACATTTTATTAAGTAATTTGACCACAGTTTCGGGCATACAGTTTGTCAGAGTTGCCAACCTGTCACAAAGTTACCATTCATCATATTGTAGAAGAAAACTGGGAAAACAAGAATTTTTTTAAAAAGGACCCTTAATATTGTCTCCAAATTAGTGTAAAGTCATTTGTATCTTAGATGAACTATATTTGCAAGGTTCTATCAATGGGTAATCCAAAATAAGTTGTAAAAGTTATTAAAATGTACAATTCAGTAGATTTCAATTTGGTAGTGTTAACCTCCTAGAATGCAGTTTAACAAAAAGAGATGTTTTGTCTTTATGCACTAAAAGGCAAGGTGATTTTAAACACTTTGGACACAGAACAAAGGAACTGAGAGCTTCCAAAGTCTTAGACAATAGAAAAGCAAATTGTTACATTGTGTACTAAATTGAAAGCAAATCTGAACCTCTCAGCATGTGTTTGTACTCCACCATCTGATTTGTATATGTCAGTGGGGAAAGGAAAACTGACAATATAAAATAACACTGGCTACTTATAGCAGATGACACCTGTAAGTGGAATTTTTACAAAGCAGAAATTCTGATGTGAAATGAGACAATTATCATTATCACTGTCACGTGGGTTTTGTTAGTTATTTTTTTAACATTCTCTAATTCTAAAAGTCTGTTAATTAAACAGCAATGACAGATCTTCGTCTTCTTTAAATACTTTGTTTGTGTGAGGCTGTCACATAGAAAGAAAGATTATATTTTAAACAATATGTTCAAGTGTAAAAAATCTTCAACAAATTCTTAATGTTAAAAAAAATAGGAGAAAGTTCCAGGACTTTTGTAATTAATAGCTTGGGATTCTTCATAGGGAGCTGGATATTTCAGAAAATTTGAAAGAATTTTAAGTAATTTTTAAAGGATATCAAAGACTAAATTATACCCTGGAATATTAGGAGTACTTTTTCTCTTCTGAAGGGATATTGACTGGTGTCAGTAGATTAATATGGTGCAACACTAAAAACAAAAGAAAATTACCATGGCATTTACAGTTTTTCATTATCTCTGTCTCCCTGTCACCACCAGAAAATACCCAAATGAGGTATTTATATCAATGATTTTAAAATCCTAATTCAAAATGGTAATGGCCAATTCAGAGGTAATTTCAAAATGACTAACTCTATTGATCTGGTAGAATAAAAATGGTGTATTTCCCAAATTCTTCTTTTTTAAAGATTTTATTTATTTTTACAGAGAGGAGAGGAAAGGGAGAAAGAAAGGGCGAGAAACATTGATCAGTTGCCACCTGTACATGCCCTGACTGGGAACTGAACCTGCAACGCAAGCATGTGCCCTGACCAGGAAATATTCTTTTAAAATCACAGATTAAATGGAAGGCAAATTATTATTTGTTTTAAAAATATTTTTCTGAAGTCTTCAAATATTAGTCCAGCAAATTTAAACCCAAGGTCATTACTACATGTTTATAATATCTAACATTGAAAAATTAATAGCAATCAAATTAAGAAAACAAGACTTGTATTAGTTTCCGATTGTTCCTGCAAGAAATGACTACCAAAGCTAGTGGCTTCAAACAACACAAATTTTTTTTCTCTTATAGGGCTGGAGGTCAGAAGCTTAAAACCAGTTTCATTGAGTTAAAAATATTAAGGATTGAGCGAGGCTGGTTTCTTTTGGGGTCTGTGACAGGAACACTTGTTTCCTTGCTTTTTTCGCCTTCTAGTCCTTGCCTGTGGAAGTCCGCCTGTCGTCCTTGCCTTTGCACCTTCCTCCCACTGTCAGTCACCTCTTTTCTCTCTGATGGCCTTCCTCCCTCTTGGAAAGACTGTTGGGACTGCCTTGGGCCCAGCCGGGTAATCCTGGGTAAACTCCTCATCCCAAATCCCTGATGTAGTCATTCTGCAGAGCCCCTTTTTCCAGGTAAAGGCACAATCCTGGGTTGAAGACAAGGCATCTTGTGGAGGTGGTATTAATTTAGCCCACCATAAAGGTTATAATAATTGTCCTTTCATGACATATTGCCCTTGTATGTGGCACCATAAGAAAATATACAAGTTGAGTTCAAC